TAACACCTAGCGTGTGGAATACTTGGTAACTGTCAAAAAGAAACTGATAAATAAATCAAGACAGCCCATATTCATGAATAGGAAGACAATATTGTTAAGAAGGTAATACACCCCAAATATAGATTCAGTGCATTCTCTATCAAACCCTCAGCTGTCTTTGCAGAAACTGATCCTAAAATTCACATAGAAATTCAGGGGACCTAGAATAGCCAAAACAATCCTGAAAAAGAAATTAGAGGACTCCCACTTCCCCTATTTCAAAATTTGCTAAAAAGCTATAGTAATTAAGACAGTGTGATACCGGCCTTAAGAATGGACACATATATCAGTGGAATAGAATTGAGAGTCCAGAGTCCAGTCCTCACATTTACAGTCAGTTGATTCTATCAAAATCTTCTCTACCCAGACTCCCACCACCCCTGAGTTTGGCTATTTGTCCCCAACCCCAGCCTCACCCCCAGCTCAAGCTCTTTACTTAACCTGCAGTGCTCCCCAGCCACTCGGCACAACCAAACGCTGCCCTTCCTCCAAGACCCGGCACCAGGCTTCCTCTGGGCCTCTCATCTCTCCTGGTGCATCTCCCATCACCCATCTCTGCCGGGGAAAGGCCCCTTGGCACTGAGCAGTCTAGCTCCTGCTGCTGGTGAATCTGTTCTGTGTGGTATATTTTCTCTCCTCACCGGCATGTCAATTCCTGAAAGGTAGGGCCAACCGAAACTAGGAAGCCACTTGTGCTATGCACGCACAGCCAGCCCAGCCTGGTGCCACACAGCCAGCAGCTCCTCAAGTCCACTCCATTGAACCTGGCACTCAATCCCTGCCCAAGGCTGCCTTTCCCATCTGGTTTCCTAATGCTCTTTCCCATTACCCCCTATCTAGCCACTTCTCCAACGCCTCCCCACTTGCCAGTTAAAATCCTCCCAGCCTCAGCGCAAAAAAGTGCCCTCACGGGGCTTCCCTGGTGGCGCAGTGGTTGAGAGTCCGCCTGCCGATGCAAGGGACACGGGTTCGTGCCCCGGTCCGGGAAGATCCCACATGCCACAGAGCAGCTGGGCCCGTGAGCCATGGTCGCTGAGCCTGCGCGTCCGGAGCCTGTGCTCCACAACGGGAGAGGCCACAACAGTGAGAGGCCCGCGTA